AAGCACGAGTGGAAGGACAAAGATTTTGATCAATCAGCAACCGCGGAAGAGGGAGATCGACAGCAGAAACCATCAGAAGATGTTGATTATTCATCTTCAGCTAATGAAGGAGGGAACTGGAAAAGCTCAAAGAGAAGAAAGGAGGAGGAAGATGAAACTGAAGAAAGGGATGACTCGTCCTCGTTAAAGAAGCCCCGTGTGGTTTGGTCGGTGGAGCTTCATCAACAGTTTGTACAAGCTGTTAATCAACTTGGAATTGACAGTATGGACTATTTACTTCTCTTGGCTATATGTTTGTCTTCATATTTCCCTAGGTCTATGGTTCCATATTTCTCAGAACTTAGGTTAAAGGCGAAAAACATATAAAAGTACTGTTTGTTGATGCCTTAAGCCCAAAGCACTATGAAAGCGTGGGCTTTGCAAAGAAAGGCGCTACTGAAGAAAAAGCAAAAAAAAAAATTTATACAGGCAGTGCCCAAAAAAGAAACATGAATGCAAAGAATTATTTGGACAAACGAATTGAAAAAGAACTATAAATATTTCAAGTTTATAGTTTTTAGTGGCTATTGCTTTTACACTAAATTTCTAGTTTCCTACTCTTAATTACCAAAAAAAAATCATTCATAATGTTTTTAACAGTTAATGACGCGTTGTCAACTATATTTATTGTCTCGTGCTGCCTTCTTAAAGACGAGCCTATGGCCGATGAGGCATATGCCTTAGTGCCTTGGTGTCTACACCGAAGCGCCGGCTAAGCAAGGCAAAGTGCCGAACCTGGGCTTCACCTAGTGTCAAGCGAAACTGTCTGATGTGTTATCTTTTCCTTATTCTTTGTGCTGGGAGTTTTTCCATATTTACATGAAGTTAATCTTCTCTCTTTGGATATTTATTTATCCTTTTGATATGTTAACATATTTTCTTCTGTTGTATCTTCACGACTCCCCCTTTTGAATACTTCTTTCCCTAGGATTTACTTTTATAGAAAGATATTCCCTGTTCTTCCGTGTTATTTGATATTTGTGGCAGGGAAAATTCGGTAGAAATGCTTGGCATTATACCTGGTAAAATGAGTTCTTACCATCTGAATTAACCCTTGGCCTAGCCTAATTTCTGCCCTATTTTATTGCTTCTCTCTTGTTCCCGGTTTTTGGGGGTTGTAGGGTGGAGAAACCTCATTCCAGTAATACGTACTAATTGATAAAGCTTTGTATTCCTCATCAACAGAGCTAGTCATTGAACTGAGTTCCTAGCTCCTTCTTATGAACAGTTTACTCAATTACACTAAAGTACACATGTTTAAGTTAGTACTTGAATTGCATTTTAGATCGGTGTGCAACTGATACTATAAAGTCACTCTTATTTCAAGTAGTTGTATTTGGAAATGGAAAACTTAGTTGTAAGGACAGGGATTAAGTAAAACCTTGGACAGGCTAAATTGGGGAGTGGTTCAAGAAAATTGGGAATGGGGGAGGAAAGAGGAAACTGTGAGCTATGTGAAGTAGTCAAATTACAAGAATAACATCGATTTCACTTTGCTCCAGTGTCCTTAAGTAGTTTAAATTCCTGTAAGTTTCCGTGTGTGGTTTAGCTCAAAATATGTAACTACCTTTATCCAAAGTATAGTTTTAATTTATAACAGTGATGCCCAGGTCAACTTGCGGGCACTTAGAATATTCTAACGGGTACCAACACTGCACAAGTACTGGGTCACTTATTCTAACGGGTACCAACGCTGCACAAGTACCGGGTCACAAGTACCGTGTGTGGATTTGAACCTTAGTTTTATTGCAGTTTATTTTACTGTCAATCATGGCTGATAAAATAAAATGTTCAAGATTCTATAATTCCTGAAAGCTTAGGATGAAGAGGGGAAGGGGATCGTAACGCTAGTGAGCTAGCCCTCAACCCCTTTTCAGGTTTCCTTAATATTTGATTTTCCTTTGAATTTTGTGTCTTTTACCTTAGAATGGGTTTTACTGAATTGGAAAAACATTTTTTACCTATATTATGGATACTTACTCATCTGTTATTCATTTCCAATTCTGGCGATGATTTCAGAGGCTGTTCCCAAGAAAATTCTCGAACTGATGAATGTTCCTGGGCTTACCAGAGAAAACGTTGCTAGCCACCTTCAGGTACTGAGGAACTTTACTTCCTCCCTTTTCAAGTTGATTAGTGGAAGACTTAATCTTTGTTTTGCAACATGCACTTAATAGCATTTCTCGGATTTCCTAGTAAAGCACTTATTAATGGTAATCATGTATCGCAGAAATACCGGCTGTATCTGAGGAGGTTGAGCGGGGTATCACAGCATCCTAGTGGACTAAATAACTCTTTCATGGGGCACCCAGAAGCAACATATGGAATGTCGTCTTTCAATGGGCTTGAGCTTCAAGCTTTAGCTGCCACCGGTCAACTACCTGCACAAAGTCTTGCTACCCTCCAAGCGGCTGCACTGGGTAGGTCTGCAACAAAAGGTGCTACTCTATCTATGCCTCTAGTAGATCAAAGAAACATTTTCAGCTTTGAAAATCCCAAGTTGAGATTTCCTGAGGGACAACAACAACTAAATAATAGCAATAAGCAAATTAACTTGCTTCACGGGATCCCAACAACCATGGAACCAAAGCAGCTGGCAGATTTGCACCAGTCCTCGCAATCCTTTGGCGCTATGAATATGCAAGGGAACTCCAGAGTGCAACAAAATAACGCTTTACTGATGCATATGCCTCAACAACAACCGTCTAGGGCTCAAATGCTAAATGAAACCAATAATGGTAGTCAAGTTTCGCGGCCTCCATTGACCATGTCACAGCAATCTTTGTCGTCAAATGGGATACCTGGTGCACTCTTATCACGAAGTGGTGGTATTGTTGCCAATGTACGAGGGCCGGTACACAGTCCAGTCTCCCAAGCATCTCCTATTGTAGATTTCTCGCTGAACCAAAATACCGAGTTGCAAAACAACAGCTTTCCTCTTGTGCGTAGTAATTCAGGGATGTCAACTATGACATCCAAAAGAATGCTTCAGGAAGAGGTTAACTCTGATATTAAACGGTCTAGAGGATTCCCTTCTGGTTATAATATGTTTGATGAACTGCATCAGCAAAAATCACAGGATTGGGGTTTATCAGGTGTTGGATCAACCTTCGATGCTATAACAGGAACTCTAGATGTCTCACCGTCCATGTTAGTTCAACAAGGTATTTCTTCAATGAAGAGGAATGGACAAAATGGGAGTTCTCCTATAAGCAACGCTTTCTCTAGCAGCAGGGAAGAAAGTGGAAATGTTAATCCTATGGGTGGAAATTTCCTTACTGTTAAAGCTGAACAACTTCCTGATGCGAGCTACCAAAATAACTTTTTTCCGGACCAATTTGGACAGGATGACCTTATGAGTGCCCTTCTGAAGCAGGTTAGTTCGAGTTTCTTATCCTTCAAATTTTCATTGTAATGATGACATTATTTTTACTAATTTGAATTGTATGAATTTCCAACAGCAAGAAAGTGTTGGACCAGTTGAATCTGAGTTTGGCTTTGATGGATATGCACTGGACAATCTTCCTGTGTAAGACGTGAAAACAGTTTAGGTTACGGTAGCTTACACTGTGAACATATATTTCAGAGTCGCTACTGTATATAGTTGTCTTTACAGCTGAAAAATGACTTCTGGGAAACGAAAACGCTGCAGTTCAGCTTGCTGTTCAATTCTTGATGTTGGATTCTCGTCTGGTTGCATCATCTGGTCTGATTCTTGATTCTTGTGGAATTAGAGCAAATATTGCACTGGAGTCAGATGGAAGGTAGTATGAAGGGTAATTGTGTATGATACTTCTGCATGATATGCAAAGGCGTACGTGCAAAGTTTTGACTGATATATAGCTAAGGTTATTTTAGAACAATTGCACATCCTAGAAGTAATTTGTCGAAGGTGTCGTGTTTGTGGGGTGCAACGCGTTGGTGTACGGATTCTCTTGAATGGTCGGATTTCTTTACTACCTGAAATAACCCGATTTTTATGTTACATATTTCACTTTCAGAAGTTGATCTTGATGTACAGATTAAATTTGGATTGCCATAGAGTGATACTCTCTGGGATTCTTTTAGTTGGTCATTAGCTGATATTGTTTTGCTTCCTTTCATGTTCTTATTCTTTATATGAGCAGTTTATAGAAAATGGGACCTCATTCTGTTTGTTAGCAACATATTCTTTCTAAAGCTAAGATTTTAACTTTGATTCAGCAAATAAACAGAATATGTCTATGTTTTATATGAGTTTAACTTATATACTCTGACAGACTTCTTTTTTAAACATTTTAACCAGTATTAGCAGATCTAATAGCTTTATTTTTCTAGTTATTAATCCTACTTATTATGAACAATTATCATAGTTATCTTTTAGGTGAGTTGATTGTGTAAAATTTTTTTTTTACATTGTTAGCAAGGGCGAAGACACATTGTCCTAGTTGACCACACTTCATCAAAAAATTACGTTATATATATAGGTAAAAGATTAGGTTTTACAGGTATATAATTCCTAGTTTCGCCACTGATTGTTAGTGCATAAAAGTTACTCTTTTACTGTTCACTGTAGTTTAAAGGGGAAGATCCAACTGAAGATTAATTTATATTGTAATTTTTCTGTGTTGCGGTTTTCAATTTACAAGAATGTGTCCAAGTGATAAAGTCTCTCATCTCATTTTATTAATCACTTTGTCAAGGTCTAAATTTCACTTGGCAGTGAAACAAACTGATTATTGTTTTCTTAATCATGCAATATTTATCACTGCCTTGACGAGTTACCTAAAAGAGTATAACTTTAAATATAACCAACCAAGTATATAATAATCCCATTCATTTTCCGATATCAATCTGATCTATTGTCTTCTTTTCTCCAAAAGATAAAATTTTTATGTAGCCAAAACCACACTTAAGGTTGTTGCATAAATCATCATTAAAACAGTTCTACATCTTCCACAACACATAGATCAAAAGAGTAGTTAGCATATTCAAGACTTTGTAATTAAAGTAATTTAAAATTAAAAATTGAATTTAAAATATAGAGCTCTTAACTTGATTAAGCTCCGTCTTGATCATTCAACCATACACCAACTCACAAATGGCACTACTTTTACAGCCACTACAATTTTTCTTTCATGTTTTCATATGGTCGACGAACTTATTTCGGATCGAAGCATAATTATTGTACTTGTTACAGAAAGAACCACAAGAAAGAGCCATCAATAAGAAAGCTGCTTGTTCTACGTCTCCCAACTTTCTCTTCTGAGTCGAACTCGATCTTGGTTTCTGCAAAATTACTTCTCTCCCAAAAGGAAATACTTTGCTTTTCAATGAAGAAGAAATAGTTTTCTTCCCAAAACTACTGCTTCTACTACTATCTCCACTGCTGCTATTACTGCTACTGTTACAACTTTGGTGTTGTAGTCCAATGCTTTTGTTTCCAAATGCCTTTGATTTCTTGTCTTCTTTGTTCAACCCCAGAAGTGCTCTTATCTTTTTCCTGCTTTTAATCCCACACGCATTACAAAGTGACTGCATTCAGAATGATCATATCATCAAATTCAAGTACAAAGGCAAAGTATACCAAAAAACCAAAATCACTAAAATGAGTTACTGCTCATTTTATACAAAACTATTACTCTCTCTGTTCCATTTTACATAGGAATTGTTATACAAATAGCCGGTCAAATTCAATGTTTACTTTTTCTAGCCAAATTGAAAGTGTACTATATAAAAAATCAAACAACTTTTTATAGAAAAGGCAACTCAATGCTCAAAGCATCCCTCGTTAACACAGGATACTAGAAAGGGATGCACTCCAAGAGATGTTATATAGACAAACTACCCACAAACATTAGTGGCAAGTTTCACAACTCAAGCCAGCGACCTATATGTCCCACAGAAACAAATTTACTATTACTCCAAGGATTGCTCCAAGGCTCCCTTCAGAATCAATAACTCTTTATTCAATTAAATTATTTCATGAAATGTATTAGATATTTTTAGTTCTTAGTAATAGTTACGATCTGTAATCTTTTAGATAACTATGATGTTTGAGCCAATTGTTTTATTTAACTGCATACTCTATGATTTATAATTTTAAAACATAATTTATTTTCCTTTAATAAAAATTAAATGAAATTGAAATTACAAAGAACTACACTAACCTTGGGACCAGCAGGTCCACCTCTCCAAAGAGGAGTTTTAGTTGTACCACAATCAGCACAAGTCTTAACATCATTCCTTTCTGGTGAAGAAGTTTCACTGCTCATTTCTTCAGATCTTATACCCTGAAATACAAGAAAAAAAATTCAAATCAAACACCAATATACGTATAGAATAACTCAAATACAAGCTATCAACAAAGTAATTAGAAGAGTATAATTAACGATCACTCACCTTATCACTTAAATCCACCATTTTCGATCACCTAATCAAAAAACCCAAAATAACACTTGATTTTTTAGCTTAATCAACTAAAAAGACCAAAATTAAATAAATAAATGAAATTTCTCAGCTCTACTATAAACTAAAGAAAATAGAAATAAACAGAGTGATTTTAGGAGAAAAATTGAAGAAATGGGGGATATGGTAAGAAGATAAGAGAAGAGTGAACTGGGCGATCAGGCGGGGGGGAAAAAGAAGCGGTGGGGTTTGTAAAGGAGTAACCGAAAACCCTAGGTACGCGGGAGTCTGAAAAGACGAAATTGTCCTTGATTTGAGAACGTTTTTCAGTTTTTACCCGCCAAAAGAGTTGAGCTCTAACTGAAAAGGGCGCCAATTAATTTTGTTGTTTGCCGCTTTACTTAAATTAAGTTCTTTGATGGATTTTCGTTTTTTGTTTCTAACTGTCCCATTTAACTTTTACTCGCTTTTTAAATAATTTCAGGTATTTTTCTCGTTTTTCTTCTTGTTCTTCTTTTTCGTGTGACGGTAATTTTATATGGTGTTTATGAACATATTTTAACATAGTTTATGATATTTTACCGTGGTGAGCTGTTGTGACGCTTTATTTTTTTTTACCATTACTTAGGATTTCTTCTTCTTTTTCTTAATTGTACAATGGGTTCGTTAGATTTATTGTTATTTTGACGAATTGATGATTGGAGTTTGTTCTTAATGATATTTGTAGGTTACATTTCAAATTTGAGCTCATTTGGAGTAGATTTAGGTATTAAATCGTATATTGGATTGTTAAAATTCAAAAAACAAATTTTTGTTTCTTGACCATTCGCACTTCAGGCCTATTTGGCCTTAAGTGCATGAAAATGTTGGTTGCACTTCAGACCTTTTAGCCACTTAATTTCAATTTTTAAATTTTTAAATTCAAATTTCAAACTTTAAACTTTAAAAGTTTAATTTTATGCCTTAAAATACTTACTTTATTATTTAAAAATTTGCAAACACTTAAATATCAATTACATTGAACAAGAAAAACGTAATACACTTTAAAAAATTAATCCAGCCTAGTCCATCCGATAAGCCCAAACCTAGACGGGCCCAACAAAATCCAGAATATTCCAGCCCACTACCAGTTCGGAACCCCAGCCCACTAACTAGCCCGCCCCACTAATCGGACGGGCTGTTTTTTTCCATGTCCAGCCTCGTCCAACCCGTCCGATAAACACCTTTAATTCTTATGCTTCATTTCTTCGATTTATTTAAATCCTTATTTGTGCGTGTAATCCTTATTACTAAAACAAAAATTGGTCATAATTAACGTTTTAAAAAAAAAAAAAACTTTCTTCTTAAGCAAAAAATTAGAAAAGAAAAAACAGTCTAAGCCGACACTTGAGTATACTTTCATGTATTTATGATTTTTTATTACGAAAGAGAAAGATTAATGGACATTGGTTTCAAAATGTACATATGGTTTAGCTTTTTGAAAAATAGATTTCAAAATGTGCGTGGTAAAATAATTTAAGAAGTAGTTATGTATTTATATTTGATTTCTTATCTGGTATTTAATACTCGTATAATTGTTTCACGTAAAGGTCACTAAATAGAAAAGCGCTTCTTACTAAGATTTTTTTTATTATCAGAGGTCGAAGACAAGAACCCTAATCAACAGTCGATAGATCCTATTTATCCCACCATAACTTTTGTAGTAATTAATACTAGTAGTTGCCCGTTTGTATAATTTTGAAATTGTGTTTGGAATAGTAGATCAGATCTATTTGTATACGAGATTGCTAACTCAGATCCTATGAATTAAATATATGAGATTCAAACAGAATCATACTTAGACACGTCGCAGGAAAGCATCTTTTCTTTTTCTTTCTTCCTTTTTTCTAATTTTTATATTTTTCTTTTACCTTTTGTCTCCTCTACGTTCAACATAGTTTTAATTTTAGAGTTTCATGTTATATTTTCAGTAAAAAAATCAGGTGAGATTTACTTTTTAGTTAGTAATGTTAAAGTTGGACGACTTTACAAAAACTAGAAAATGGCTTTAGTGTGATAAACTTTAAACTGAATGACTTTTATAATTAAGAAAATGATTTTTGTATTGCAAATTCAAAGTTAAATGATTACCGATGAAATCATTTCAATTTAAATAGTTGTAGACCAGGAAAAAACAAAAAGTTAAAAGTATTTTAGTATTATGAAAAAGAAGGGGAAAAAACTCCATTGTGGGGACAAACTATAGCAGTAGAAATAAAACGAAAGAGCAATGTTTTGGAAAGAACACAAAGAAAAACAAAACTATGGGACAAACAAACAATGGGTCTTGGTCTTCCACCATATGATATAAAAAAGAAACAAAAAAAGGAAAATACTCACAATGCAACAACTTGTCAAAGAAGATATTGTAAATGCCAAATGCTAAGAGTAATTTCCATCTCATATCCAAATCCAAATGCCATGTCCTCAAGGGAAAAAAAGCAAAAAAAAATTAGCATTGCATATTGAAAACAAAGGTCCACTTTGTTAGCTAGACATTAATTCAATCAACACATCTTACAAATAGAAAATATCCAATAGCCCCCCAAAAAAAATAAGCAATAGAGACTTTCACAAGCAAATTTAATCCGTGGCGGAGCAAGAAAGTTCTAACATAGAACTAAAAAAATGTAAGAATATCACTCTTAGAGTTTGAACCTGAGACGTAAAATAATTTTGAACCAACCCTATCACGGTATAACTCCAGTATAAATAAAATCTCATTGAACCCCCTTCAATACACGTAGCTCCACCACTGGACATAATAGAGAGAGACTTCTAATACTTAAGTTTGTTATTGTGATGAGTAAATGTTGAGAAAAAATGTGCAAGCATTGCAAAGAAAGAACCAATGCAACACATGATCCATGCCACAAAAATCACAACCCAATCCTTCCATTTCTTCTTAGGAAGATGGTTTCTATCAGATTGCATTAGAGACCTATACACTGCTTCAGTTAGGGCAAATGCAGTTACTGGATCTGATTCTTCTGGTAATATCCCCTGCTCTGTCAGACATGCGATATCGTAGGCGCCTGTCGTCTCCGGTATCCCTAAATATTCGCATATTTTCAGCCTGCTGGTAATCCTTTCCTCCGTGCTAATCGTGTCACCATGTGTTAGTATTAATAACGGATTCTCGTCTGTAAAAAAAAAAAAAGAGAGAGAGAGAGATAGAGATTAAATAACTATAGTTCAACTAGTAAGGTAAATAGACATAACATTATTTTCAACCAACCTCCATCGGCGTACTTTATTTTCATGTGTAGAAATCAAGTGAATGTACAATAGTTACTAGAATGGAATAAAGAATAACTCCCTTCATTTCGTTCCTTATTAGTTCATTTCAAAGGGAATAACACTTTTTTATATTTGAAACCAATTAACTTTAAACTTTCCATTTTACATTTAATGAAAAGTTTTTGTAGTCTTATAAATGTTATGGCATTATTTAATACAAGAAGTTTCAAAAGTTTTATAAACACAAATGCTGTGATATTTCTAAGATCACCAATTTCAGAAGTCTATCTCCCCCCCTAAAATCCATGCTGAATCAAACTATGTCATATATTCAAACTATGTCATATAAATTGAAACAAGGAAGTGCAACGAGAGATTTAGATTTAAATCGAGCAACTTACTTGATTTCCTTATACAATGGTTGGTGAAGAGGATCTTCAAGGCCTCCACAGGCTTCAAATCTCCAGAATTGAAAGCCTTATTAATCTCTGATAAGTCAGCCACAACTACTACACAATCAACTTTTCTCTTAGCGTATCTTGTATTGGATCCACCATTAATAAGCTTATCACCATGTCTAAAACAAGGTTGATTATGGCGAACGCCACGAGTCATCCATGTCGAAACCTCCTCTAAGCCCTCGATCATATCATTAGAATCCAAGCCCCTTGAATCATACACACAAAATCCACTTCTCATTGATCTCAAAACATTGTGTTCTTCCAAAAACATGGTTGTATAGTGTGAATTCCCACCTATAACAAGAGTCATGCACCATAATGTTAAGGGGTCAATAATCAAAGGCGTATTTGGTATTTAAGGTCAATATATGTGAAATGCTAAACTACTGATTGCGTTAGGGTATTTAAGATCATGCATGTTCGAATACCAGATGCTTTGTGCACAGGGCTGCCCTTTTTATTCTAATTTAGCTTTTTTTTTTCTTTAAATTTTTGGAACACACATAACTGCCGGGAAGTGTTTAATTTTCATATACAATGTAAAAAATTTATTATACTATCAAGGTCACGTAAAAAGAAGTATATACATGTAATTATTCATGAAAAGCGGGATCAATAACTTGAAAAATAAGACAGATCAATTGCAACAAGTAAAATATAACTACGTATCACTATCCATAGAAAGTGAGAATTGAACCTTGAGAAAACAATGTCATAGTAAAATGTGGAAATTAAAAAAAAATTCACAGCATTACCAAAGATGTATACATTTTGAGGCAAAAGGTGAAAGTGTGAAACAAATAAAGGTTTCACAGCTATTAAATTTTTATAGTCGACCCCACTTCTGTTTTTGTTAGCAAGAATAGAGTCTCAAATTTTATTAAATTTTTTTGAAAAAACTTTTAAATGGATAATATTCAAACCCATGGATCACATCTTGCATGTGGAATTTATTAGAAGCCGCTGTCCAATTCATCAGAGCCAATTAGTGGGCCATTTCCACACTTGTGTTTAAATGTGGATAGAGTAAAGTAATTAAATAGTAGTATTTTTTTTTCAAGAAATAACCTAAATTAAATTTTTTTGACTTAAGATTTTATAGTCACTTTGGGATGTCGGTAACTCCTAGGCCCCCTATGTGACTTGTAAACACACACAAAAAAAAAAGGTGCGATTGGGTGATATCTTTTTTTGCATAAATATGTTAAAAAGTACTTCATGTGATTTGGATGACTACTTTTAATAGCTATACTTTGAAAAGAATTTTGTTTACATTGCCAAAGATAAAAAGGCTGCAAGTTACCTTAAAAAGAAAAGAAAAGTAAGAATCCAAGTTTAGTATGTTTTTGGTAGATTAAAAAAAAGGTAGTTTTATTTGTTTATTTATTTTTGTTCTGTCAAACAAATAAGCTTCCGTTTTCTAAATAATGTAGTAGGCTATTTAAACGTTTCTAAATAATGTAGTAACTTTTATGAGCGAAAGGTTTTAAAAAAAGAAG